TACTTAGAACTAAAGCACGCACAAACACACACACACACACACACACACTCACAAAGAAATAAAACATATGGAAACTGGAAGCTGAGAGCACAGATCCAACAAAGGGATCCTAGGGGATCTGAGTGGAGCACCAATAGTGTACACTGCAATTGGTATAAATCAATGGCACTACAGACCAACAAATAGGGTAATGACCACAGCCAGAAATTACTAAGTACATACAATATGCCAGCACTGCTTTAAATTCTTTAAAATATACTTTGTTTAATCCTTACAACAAACTTGTGAAGTAGCTAGTATTATTTCTATTTTGTCAAATGAGGGAACTAGATTAATTTTTGGAAGCATTTTTGTCTAAAATGACACACGGATTTCATGGTGTAACTAGGATTTGAACTGTAGATGCATGATTCAACAGCATGTACTCTAAACAGCATGGTACCCACTTGGGCATGTCATCTCAAAAAACAAAGCTGTTAAAAGCAGCAGAGCCTAAGTCATTTGGCCTGATATCTTAGGAGTTCTGAACAAGGAGAGACAATACATATAATATAATTATGCAGGACAAACACTCAACAAATACTAGCCACTATTATCAAAGAAGGGAACATAATATAAATTTCAAAATGTTTTTTCTATAAAATGTCTCTTTGGCTGGCGCCGCGGCTCAATAGGCTAATCCTCCACCTAGCAGTGCCAGCACACCGGGTTCTAGTCCCGGTCAGGGCGCCGGATTCTTTCCCGGTTGTCCCTCTTCCAGGCCAGCTCTCTGCTGTGGCCCAGGAGTGCAGTGGAGGATGGCCCAAGTGCTTGGGCCCTGCACCCCACGGGAGACCAGGAGAAGCACCTGGCTCCTGCCATTGGATCAGCGCGGTGCGCAGGCCGCTGCGTGCCATCCGTGGCGGCCATTGGAGGGTGAACCAAAGGCAAAAGGAAGACCTTTCTCTCTGTCTCTCTCTCTTACTGTCCACTCTGCCTGTCAAAAAAAATGTCTCTTTGATCTATAAGCTTTTTGCTTTGCTATTCTCAAAAAAGGTTTAAAGAGCTAAATATCAACTTCATTCTTTTTTAAAGAAATATTTATATATTTGAAAGTCAGAGTTACACCGAGGGAGGGGGAGGGGGAGGGGAAAGGGGGGAAGGGGGAGAGGCAGAGGCAGAGGCAGAGGCGGGAGCAGGAGGCAGAGGCAGAGGCAGAGGCAGAGGCAGAGGCAGAGGCAGAGGCAGAGGCAGAGGCAGAGGGAGAGGGAGAGGGAGAGGGAGAGGGAGAGGGAGAGGTCTTCCATCCGCTGGTTCACTCCCCAATTAGCTGCAACAGCTAGAGCTGCACCAATCCAAAGCCGGGGCTTCTTACTGGTCTCCCACATGGGTGTAGGGGCCCAAGGACTTGCACCATCTTCTACTGCTTTCCCAGGTAATAGCAGAGAGCTGGATTGGAAATGGAGCAGCCAGGACTCAAACTGGCACCCATATGGGATGCTGGCACTGCAGGCGGTGGCTTTACCCACTATGCCACAATGCTGGCCCTTCAATTTTGTTCCTGATAGCTCTATTATATATAATACAATTTGGGGGAAGACGTATGACCTAGCAGTTGGCACACCTACAACCTGTATTGGAGTGCCTGGGAGGTAAAAGGTGATGACATCTTAAGTGCTTGGGTTTCTGTCACTTATGTGGGAGATCTGGATTGAATTCCTGGTTCCTAGCTTTTTCCTGGCCCAATCTTGGCTGTTATAGGCATTTGTGGAGTGAATCAGTGGGTAGAAGCCCTCTCTGTCTTTATCTCTATGCCTTTCAAGTATATCAACAAACAAAAATTTTAAAATTGGCTAAATTCACTTATAGTATAAAAGAAGAGATAAAGAAGAAAAACAGAATGAGAACAAATGAAGAGGGAATATAATAGATTATTAAAGCTATTCAGAATGACAGAAACAGATATTCTAAACAAAGTCTTACCCATGTTTCTTGGGATCCAGTTATTAAATTGTTTCTTTCTGAAGAGTCAGGAGGTGATTTTTAATTCCCCTGAGAATATCACAGGCCATCTCCCATAAATAATGTAACAGTGCACTGCATTAGAAACTTTGGTCACTTTTCATGACTGGGCTATTAATAACACCAAAACTACCATTTCTGACTTCATTAAAATGATTAACTTCATTTTAGTGCCACATGAATACTAGGCATAGGAAAAATGCAATAATCTTAATAAAAACCACTGTTTCTGGGGCAGGAAATTGGCTTCATAGTTAGGCTGCCAGTTGTGATGCTCATACCCCATTTTGGAGTATCTGGGACTGAGTCAGCCTCTGGCTCCTGATTCCCACGGCCTACTAACGCTGACCTGTGGAAACAGCTTGGATGGCTCAAATGATTGGTTCCTGCCACCCACATGGGAGACCTGTCTCCCATGCGGGTACAGGGACCCAAGGACTTGGGCCATCCTCCACTGCCCTCCTGGGCCACAGCAGAGAGCTGGACTGGAAGAGGAGCAACCGGGACTAGAACCCGGCACCCCAACCGCGACTAGAACCCAGGATGCCGGCGCCGCAGGCGGAGGATTAGCCAAGTGAACCATGGCACTGGCCAAAAATTTCATTTCTTAAAGATAGGTTGAATAACTTGAGTGAACAGAAATGAAGCTCCTGGGCTATTAAGTATGAAATAAGCATCAGAAAAGAATATTTCAAGAGTAGGCATTTAGCCAAGAGGTTAAGATGCTAACACCACACATCCCAGTTCCTTGGTTCAGTATCCAGCCCTACTCCTATCTCCAGCTTCTTGCCAGTGGAGGTCTTGGGAGGCAGTGGTAGTAGCTCAGGTAATTGGATGCCTGTCACCCATGTGGGAGACCTAGATTGAGTTTCCTTTTTCAAAGTTTTATTTTATTTATTTGAGAGAGAAAGAGAGAAAGGGAGAAAGAGAGAGAGAGAGAAAGAGAGCGAGAGCGAGAGAGAGAGAGAGAGAGAGATTGGTTATATCTTCTGGTTCAGGGGTTGGGCCAGGCCAAAGCCAGGAGCCCAGAATTCCACCTAGGTATCCCATGTGAGTGACAGGGGCCCAAATACTTGGGCCATCTTTCACTGCCTTCCCAGGTGCACTAGCCTGGAGCAGGATCAGCAGAGCAGCTGGGACTCCAATTGGCACTTGGAAATGGGATGCTGGCATTGCAGGTGGCAGCTTAACAACAGTGGCTCCAGATTGAATTTCTATTGAATTCCAGATTGAATTCTATTTCTTGGCTTGGTCCTGACCAAACCCCAATCAATGCAGACATTTGGGAAATGAACCTGTGGGTAGAAGCTCTCTCTCTGATTCTATCCCTCTGTATGTCTTTATGTCTGTCTGTTTCTATTATCTCAAATAAATAAAAATTTAAAAGAATAGTTCAATGTATTTCCAATTTAAGGATCCTGATTACTTTAGGTACTGACAATTTTTGCAACATGCAAAAACAACTTATGACAAGTTTTCACCTCAAGTAAAATAAATCTAATATTCTGATTCTAGTTTGTATCATGCAAGACATAAAATCTATACATTACCTAGTTTACAGTGACTGGGGGGGGAATCTCTTGATTTCTGTTCCTTTCTTCAGAGGTGAGATATAATAATCAAATATATTCAACAACCAGAACAGTACAGGCAACAACTATCACAATAGATATTACAACTAATAAACATTATGATATAACCAATTCAGAGCAAATGATGCAATCAGTCAGAATGGTTGCTGGCTGAAACATATGTGAGGTCACACCCTGGGAACCAGCTAAATATCAGCCCTGTCCATAATGGGTGTAAAATTCAACTGTTCTGATAATATTTAACTTTCTTCACATAGAAATCTCTTTAGAAATCTAAGTGATTTCTGGGGATCTATGGACACTGTTCACTCTCCAGATACCTTCCTCCTTGCTGCTGTGGTGGGGGAAACTCCCTAAGGCTGAGCTGAGAAAGTCACTACAAATATATAATAACTAACATGCATTGAACCTACTTACACATCATTTTCCTCAATCTATACAACATTCCTATGAGGTAGTTACTATTATTATCCTAGTTTTTCCAATAAGGAAACCAAGTGTGGGGAGCAACTCGGACTAGACTAAGTTACTGGAATTAAGACTTATTCTATGCATCTGCTCTCCCACAATATGGCGCTGGGAGAGGAGAAAGCAGCTTCTACACAGCTGCCTCTTGCCAACTTGAGTGATGACCTCCAGGAGCTGATCCTGCTCCTGATTGGAGGAGAGCAGCGTACTCGGCGTGTGGGCAGCCGAGTTGGGATTGGCGGAGGAGGACTATAAAGGAGGAGAGAGACGGCATGCACCAGGAACATCTAAGGGGAACATCTATCTCAAGGAACACCTGTGCAGCCCCCGAGAGAGCCGGCCGGCGGTGTGCCGCTCCCCCGCGGAAGTGGGGAAAGTGGCCAGGGGGAACCGCCCTTCCACGGAGGTGGAAGGGACAGTAGCCAACCCGGGAAGAACCAGCAGCAAACCCGGGGAGGGCCGAGCAGACGAAAGAACAGCGCAGGGTCCTGTGTTGTTCCTCCACGAAGAGGGGGAGCTACATAATGGTGCCGTGACTCGGATATGAAGCCTAGGCAGGGTTCTGTGTCGTTCCTCCACGAAGAGGGGGAGCGACACCAAGGCATGCAAAAGTTGAGAAACCTGCTCAAAGTAACAGAACTGACACAATGTCAGAGCTGGTACATAAACTTGCCTATCCTTAATCTTAACAACTAGTTATGATGCCATAGGCAAATGAGTGTTCTCATTAGCACTATATTATTAACTCAATTCCATTGTCCTATATGGCTAAAGAGTGAAGTGGCAAAGATGTTTTCTAATATTTTTGTTAATGCTGAGAGTCCATGAAGTCCCTGATCATTATCTGTTTCTAGTGTGGTCCCATTTACCCCATTTCTAATCCAAAATGCTTCAAACAGAAAACAGTCAATTAGGTCAATAAGATAAAAAAGATGCTACCTTATTCTCTTGTCTTCCACTTTTTTCAAATATTCATCTCTCTTTAGGACTCCCAGGATCATTTCCTTCTCATGATCTAATAAAAATGACAGATTGATGAGCTCCAAGTTCTTAGACATGGTATTTCAGCAACAACAGCTCTGGGTAGCAGTTGCTGAATAGTCCAGAAGGTAAATTGTTGTCTATAATTCTTAAGGTTCCTGCTAACCAACCCAAAGTCACTCAGTTGTTTGGCATAAAGTGGTTTTATAAGATCTCTGAAGAATTACTGATTGTAGTCAAGCATTCTTTCAGGCTACACGGAAAACAGGCTCTGCTGTGATTAAATTCCAAGAAAGTCATTATCGTTTTAACTGAAAAATATATACAAAGCTCTTGCTGTGGTCTGCAGTCAGGTAGCAGCTGAGTGTCACTTATGATGCCCAACTTCAATCCTTCAGAAAGCTACAGAGCAGGAATCAGATCCGCTGGAACAGAAGGCAGCAAAGACTGGAAAGGTAGAGAAAAAAGGTAGAGAAAAATTAATCAGGTCATTTTTCCTATAGCAGTTGTAAAACTATCTAATTTTTGAAACATCCATGTACCTAACAAAATACAAATTTTAAGTCAGTAAACATGCATTCATTAAATACCTACTTTGGATATATATGTTTTAACATGAAATTGTACTTATATTAAGTGATATCAGGTAATCTCTGCAAATTCAGTTTTCTCCATTTCTGCTAGCTTGCTCTGCCAGCCATATCCTGTTGCCACTTTTGCAGCTGATCCTGGGTGAGCTGGGTCACAACTTTGGGATACTAGGTGCACAACCTGTCCCTTAAGTGGTTCCCTCCTTCTCTCTCTTTCCCTCTCCAGAACTAGGATCACAGTGTAAAAAGGCATGGTAGTGAAACAATTACAAATCTGTACTACACATATTAACCAGAATACACTTCATCAACAATGTTGAATGAAAAAAAAATTACGTCAAGTTGGGAATTGATAATTTCTTCTTTTTTTTTTTTTACAGAAGATCAGTTTAGTATACATTAAGTAAAGCTTTCAACAGTTTGCACCCCCATAGAAACACAAAGTGAAATATACTGTTTGAGTACTCATTACAGTATTAAGTCTCAGTGTACAGCACATTAAGGACAGAGATCCTACATGAGGAGTAAGTGCACAGTGACTCCTGTTGTTGACTTTACAAATTGACACTCTTGTTTATGGCCTCAGTAATCTCCCCATGCTCCAGTCATGAGTTTCCAAGGCTATGGAAGCCCCTTGAGTTCTCCGACTCTTATCTTGTTTAGACAAGGTCATAGTCAAAGTGGAGGTTCTCTCCTCCCTTCAGAGAAAGGTACCTCCTTCTTTAAAGACCTGTTCTTTCCACTGGGATCTCACTCACAGAGATCTTTCATTTAGGTGTTTTTGTTTTTGTTTTTGTTTTTGTTTTTTTGCCAGAGTGTCTTGGCTTTCCATGCCTGAAATACTCTGATGGGCTTTTCAGCCAGATCGGAATGCCTTTAGGGCTGATTCTGAGGCCAGAGTGGACAAGCATTTATTTAAAATAGAACAATTTCTTCTCACATGGGAAACTTGTATGCAAGTCTAGTAGCTGAGATTTTCTTAAAAACTGCACAATAGTATTGATAAAAAATAACAGGAAGGCCACCTGACAGTACTATTAACTTTATATTGATACTTCAAGAGCAGCATTCTCAAAATGATCCAAAATTATAACAATTGATATATAACTCAATGCATCCTTTAAAGTTTCCTCATAAAATAAATTTTCCTGTCCTCATTTTGTTTGGAGAAAAGTGAGTCATAAATAAGTTAACTTGCTCAAAGTCAATCAGTTAGTAAGTAACTCAGAACACTCTGATTTCATGGACTAAATCTAATTGCCTCTCAGTGGCTCCAGGGAACAAAAGTATCCCATATGTTAGATATTCTATGGAATTTTTAAAAGTTATGTAGTCCAGCAAAAAAATGGATTTGTAAACTTAAACCAGCTTAATTTTTTTCTTCTACATAACTTCTCAGAATCCTTAACTTTCATTTTAAATTTTTATGTAATCCTCAGTTCAGAAAGGGTTATTTAACATTATTGGTTTTTATCTCAGCATGATATATTTTTATAGCTTTTAAATATAATACAATTGAGATCTTTAAAATGCTAGTTAGGGGAAAATCTAAATAACACATTCTAGAGATAAGCATTTGAAAGACAATTTAGAAGATATGTTTACATTATAGCATAATCAATAGTGAAAATTTTGATATAACCTAGTTACAGCAATATCATGGTGCAATTTTAAAATAAGATATTTACAACAGCTCACGACCAAGGTTTTCTTCAAGACTTTCGCCTTGATGTGCCCACCAATCCAAAGTTATTAAATTATAAACTCTGTCCAACTCTAACAACTTTCATGTATTGTGAAATTTACTTTATTACTTATCCTAAATCCTAAAACTTGATAAACACCATTCCCAAGATAGTATTGTATATTTCTGTAGTAAGTCCAATAAACTCAACTTTGCTCACAAAATTAAAACAAAATGAAATATTTAAAAATATACTGACATAGAAAATATCTAAACTACATTGTCAGTTGAAAACTACGCTTTTGAATGAACATATTTAATGCAGTGCAATAGATATATGTATGCATGTGTGTATACATGTGTGTATATATATATATATGATATGTAAATGCAAAGAAAAGGCGCAGAATGATACATACTGATTTATGAATCATGTTGCAGATACAGACCAGAATTAAATTGTTAGGACTTAGAGAAGGGATGAAATGAGGCCTATTTCTATATTGTTAATTATTTTTGACATGTTAATAAAACTACATATTATTTATATATTTTAAGAGATTTTATTGATCTTACTTGAAAGCAGAGTTACAGAGACAGGGAGAGACAAAGAGAGAGAGAAAAAACTTCTAGGGCTGGAGTTTTGGCACAGTGGGTAAAGCCACAGCCTGCATCCCATATTGGTGCTGGTTTGTGTCCTGGATGCTCCACTTCTGATCCAATGTGCCTGGGAAAAGCAATGGAAGATGGCACAAGTGTTTGGGCCTCTGTCACCCATGTGGGAGACCTAGAAGAATTTTCTGGCTCTTGGTTTCAACCTGGCTAAGCCTACCTCTCTGTAACCCTGACTTTCAAATAAGTAAATAAATCTTTGAAAAAGAAAAGAAAACTTCATCTGCTGGTTCATTCCTCAAATGGCCACATGACTACGGCTGGGCCAGGCTAATGCCAAGAGCTTCATCCACGTCTCCCATGTGGGAGGCCGGGGCTCAAGCAGTTGGGCCACCTTCCATTGCCTTCCCAGTTGCATTAGCAGAGAATTGGATCAGAAGTGGAGCTACCAGAACACAAACAGGTGCCCATATGGGATGCCAGCATTGCAGGTGGTGTCATAACCTGCTAGGCCACAACACTGGCCGTTATATCTTTTAACATTTTAAGAATTAATAGGTGTGGTAAATTACTAGAGAGAGGCTAAAAACTATTTTAAGAATTGGGTCTCAGAGCAGACATTTGGCTCAATGTTTAAGATATGTTTTGGTACACCTGCATCCAATATCAGAGTATCTGGGTTCAAATCTTAGCTCCACTTCCAATTTCAGTTTTCTGCTGATATGTGCCCTGGGAAGCAGCAGTAATGGCCTAAGTTGTTGGGTCCCTGCCATCCACATGGGAGAGTCAGATTGAGTATTATGTTCCTCTCTTCAGTCTGGCCCAGTCACAGCTGCTGCAGGTATTTGGGGAAGTGAGTCAGCAAATGTGAGCTCTTTCTGTCTCGGTGTCTCTTTCAAATTAAAAAAAATATTTGCAGCTATTAAAAATTTGCCCCTAGAAGAATGCAGGTAACATTGCCAGGATTAAGGAAGTTAGGGGGATATACCGGTTTTGGTGGGCAATAATAGATTTGGGTTTCAAAATGTTGTGAATTATGTGACAACTCTGATTCATCAGCATGATAGTTTTCCATTCTTTGTCTTCTATATAGGATTCCTCTAAAACTTAAATTTTATAGCAACCATTCTAATACTGAAAACATTTCAATGTCTTTCCTTTGCTTGTAAAAGTTCAAGTTGCTTACTATGGTTTACAAACCTTCAGCATTTGGCCCTTGCCTACCCTTCTCTTACACATCTATCCTCTAACCACATTCAATGCTCCATTCCTCTGAAGAAGCCATAATCTCTTTCACCTCCAGATCTTTCTACTTGAAAGACACTTTTTGGAACACTTCCATCTCATAATTCCTAAGTATCACAGGGATCTACTTAGATGCCCAGCCCCTATTAAAGCTTTGCCATCTGTAGCAAACTGAATAATGACTCCAAAGATGACCACTTCCTAATGCCCAGACCAATGAATAGGTGACTTCATATGGCAAAAACAGTAGCTGCTGCTGCTGTGATTAAACAAGGATCTTGAGAAGACAGACTAGCCAGGATTCTGTGGGTGGGCCCAACGCATTCATAACAGTCCTTAGAAGAGGGATACAGAAGTCAGAGAGTGAGGCTTCATGCCAGAAACAGAGTCTGCAGTGATGGACTCTGGAAGACAGATGAAGGGGCTACAAACCATGGAAGGTAGCTGTCCTCCTTAAGGCAAAGGAAAAGATTCTCCTCTGGAGCTTCCAGAAAGAAGTTGCACTGATTTCTGCTTCATAAGAATAATTATGGACTTCTGGCTTTCAAAACTATATGATAATACATTTGTGTTATTTTAAGACACTAGGTTTGTGATAATTTGTTACTGTAGCAATTGGAAACTCATACAGTATCTACATAACATATTTTTCATATACATACTGTCTACTCATGGTAGCATTTTATAAGTTGGGGTAGGCTAACATAGTGGTATTCAAAGTGCGGCCTGCAGACCTCTGGTGGTCTGCGAACTAACTACTTTACAATTATATTTTGCACCAAAAAACAAGGATAAGAATCTAACAGGAGTCACTGTGAACTAACTTCCCATTCAGGACCTCTGTTCTCAATGAGTTGTATTATGAGAGTTAACTGTAAAACTAGTTCTCAGAGTTTTCCTTTAATGTGCATGTGTGTGCAAATTGCTGAAATCTTTCCTTAGTATAGAGTTGGTCTTCTGTGTAGAAAGTTAATTGAAAATGAATCTTAATGGAGAATGGGACTGGAGAATGGGACTGGGAAGGGGAGAGGGAGGAGGAGGAAAGGGGGTGGGAGGGCGGGTATGGTGGGAAGAATCACCATCTTCCTAAAGTTGTACTTATGAAATCTGTATTCCTTAAAAAATTAATTAATTAACAATAAAAGAATCTAGAAATGTTTATACCAACCTGACAGACTAATTTTAAATCTGTTGAATCTAATGATAATTTACACTTGAATATTTTTACTTTTTAAATACATATTTATTTATTTGAAAAGCAGAGTTACAGAGGTTGCAAGGGAGACAGAGGGGTTTTTCATCTGCTGTTAGGAGCC